GCAACGTAATTCAATAGTCACACGAGATCACCCCATGCACAAAAAAATGCTTTTGACAAGATACTAGTTAACTGTTCCCAGGACACAGCCTGTAACACATAATGCCAAAATATTGACTGCAAGCATCATGAAAATTGTACACACAGTACCAAGCACGTTATCTTATATTAAACTGCATATACCGCATGAGAAAAATCTATCAACCAAGAAATAAAAGAACTAAAATAAATTTGAACATTTAACTGATTATTGAGCTAGGGGGAATAGAGATGATAAAATATTTATTATTCTTTTGTAAAGGCAAGACTTACATTTGGTCCTACTTTTAACAGAGAACTAATGTTTAATGCATCTAATTCTTATAGAGGCATAAAAACACATTTTGGCATGAAAGACTATTTTTAGTGACTTTAAAAATTCCTTCTTTCACACCACCCAAATCCTATTGTCTGTCTGGTAGACTCACTCTGTCTTTTAATCAGCAAACATTTCTTCTCTCCACAACATGAGAAAACTAAGGAATTCCACACACACAAAATATCTGCTAAAAGGAGACCTATAACTGTCCCAATAAAATTTACTGTATTCAGTCTTTCAGCTCTGGTTGTGTTCTCAAACATAATAAATCCAAGAGTGAAAGAGGCGCACTGTAGTTTCAAAGCATAACTTGGGGACAAGTACTTTTGTATACATATTGTTCAAGCACAAATGGTTTATATTGTTTCACAGTAAGAACTTCTTTGCTTCCTTTTATCCACTTACACAAACTGATTACATCTGGTCTACCTTGAGGGCTCTCAGTACAGTCCATGGAGTTCACTCATAAAATATTTTTGCCTTAAGCAGAATAAACTTCTTACTGAAAAGTGAGATTCTATTTGGTACAGTCTGTTCTCGGTCTGTGACTTGCAGGTATCACATTTTGTGTTTTTCATGTCACAAGACCACCAAATCAAAGGCAGCATACACACATTGGTAAGGACTGCGAGCAGCATGAAGATTGTACACACAGCACCCACGCACATTGTCTTACATAAAACTTTGCAGACTGCCTGAGTAAAATCTACAAACCAAACACTAAAATTCAGGCTGAACTTGAACATTTAACAGAAAATAAATGACTACTGAGGTAGGGTGAAAAGGCGATGCTAAAATATTTCCAATAGATATTAATCAACCACAAACCAATATTTATCCAAGTGAGGAAAAAAACAGCACTATCTTTATCTTTAAAAGCATTTTAAATCTTCTGTATGAATATCACTGAAGTTTCAGTTTGGACTCGTTTTTCATACTACTTCATTTATTTTTAGATGGAAGTTTGTATCTTCCCTGGAATTTCCTGTTGAAAACCTTCCTGTCTCTCTTTATAAACAGAAACTCAAATCCACTAAAAAAGAGGAAAAAGGTGCAATCTAGACTCTTAAAAAGCAGAGGAAATAATCAGGGAGCTGTAATAAAAATGCTGCCAGAATGTTACATTTAGACACAGGATGCCCTTGCTAAAAATCTAGGTTTTAAGCCTTTGTGGAATTAAAGATAATTTGCCCAAAACACTTAAGGCTGATACCATCATTAAAAAAGCACCAACATAATCAAAATTGTCCTAAAATATAGTATATTGCAAATATTATAGAAATGATTAATAGTTCATCTTAAGACCTAACATTTTTAGATGACAAAAATACCTTGGAAACAGTGTTTTCTCTATATATTTTTTCTCTTTTTACAAGGAAAGCGTACAACTTTCTAAAAAACACTTGTAACCTCAACTTCCCTTTCATAAATGTTTCTAAGAGCTCGCAAAGTTTTTATCTTCATCATTATTGTTTGCAAGCAAGCTTGTGCATTCTTGCATGCACTCATTTAAAACAATTTGAAAACCTAAATTTGGTATGAATAGGTATGGCAAGAAATCAACAATCATGACATTTATAGCCTTCCCTAAATTACAACTGATGATTAATAATAATAATAATTGCTTACATTTATATAGCGCTTTTCTGGACACTCCACTCAAAGCGCTTTACAGGCAATGGGGACTCCCCTCCACCACCACCAATGTGCAGCCCCACCTGGATGATGCGACGGCAGCCATAGTGCACCAGAACACTCACCACACATCAGCTATCAGTGGATAGGAGAGCAGAGTAATTAAGCCAATTTATAGAGGGGGATTGTTAAAGGCCGATGGGAAATTTGGCCAGGACGCCGGGGTACACCCCTACTCTTTTCGAGAAACACCCTGGGATTTTTAATGACCACAGAGAGTCAGGACCTCGGTTTTACATCTCATCCGAAGGACAGCGCCTGTTTAACAGTACAGTGTACCCGTCACTACACTGGGGCATTAGGACCCACATGAGCCGCAGGGTTAGCGCCCCCTGCTGGCCCCACTAACGCCTCTTCCAGCAGCAACCTTAGTTTTTCCCAGGAGGTCTCCCATCCAGGTACTGACCAGGCTCACACCTGCTGAGCTTCAGTGGGCTGCCAGTTGTGAGTTGCAGGGTGAATATTTTTCTTCCAGCAGCCATATCACCCTGCAAATATTTTACTTTTTGATTAGAAATATTTTACTTTTTGACAAAGTATTTTGGCATATCTATCAAGCATTGGTATGTTCACAAAATCTGTTGTCATATTTCTACATATCATATCTTGCTACGGGTAGGAAATATTGACAATGCTGCAAAAACACTACATTAATGTGGGAGGCATGTACTCCTGTGAGGCTCTTCCATTCGGCACACAGGAATGATGGCAATAATCAAAGCAGTACAGGAAGGCAAAAAACGTGCTCTAAATTTGGAACTGAATTATTAAGACAATCACATCCAACTACAGCAGGATCTCCAACCCTGCTCCTGGAGATCCCTAATACAAGATCTTGTATGTCATCATTGGAATCATCAATTTCTAAGACAATGCCACTGTGATTAAATTTAAGCACTATTCAGGCCTCAAGGACCAGAGTTGCCTTAATTGAACAGATTCATCAATAGCTTATAGGTCTTGTCAGTCTTTAACACGCTATAAGACTAACGGGCACAGTGAAGCACAGTGGGTAACCATTTGAACATGTGGGTTCGATTAGCTGGTGCAGACACTGCTGTTGTATCTTGAACAAGGTACTGTAACCCGATTTTTTCAGTCCAACCAGCTGTATGAATGGGACCAGCACTGTGCCCATCTGGGAGGAGTCACATGCTGTTTGTTTGCTTAACACCACGGAAGCCAGGAGACGCTCTGGACCAATGGACCAAGGGAGACCTCTGACCACCAGCAATTATTGGAACAACTTTATATGGGAGTATGTTGCTCCGATTGCCTTGGCACTCATTTTGGAAGTTGCCTTGTCTTTCAGCTCTGGTTGTGTTCTCATACATAATAAATCCAACATTGAAGGGTCTGCGGTGGAGATGGTGAATAACTTCAAATTCCTAGGTGTTCACATATCTTAGGACCTTACATGGACACTGAACACCTCCAGTCTCATCAAGAAGGCACAACAGTGGATGTACTTCCTGAGAAGGCTGAAGAAAATACAACTACATCCACAGATCCTCACCAACTTCTACAGATGTACGGTGGAGAGCATACTGACCAGCTGCATCACAGTCTGGTACGGCAACTGCACCGCATCCGACCGTAAGGCACTACAGCGGGTGGTCAAAACTGCCCAACACATCATCGGCAGTGCCTTACCATCCATCCAGGAAATATACAACACCAGGAGTCTGAAAAAAGCCACCAAAATTATGTCTGACCCCACTAACCCCAGTCATAACTTGTTTGTTCCCCTACCATCTGGCAGAAGGTTCTGGTCACTCCAGTCGCACACAACTAGACTCCAAAATAGCTTCTTCCCCAGAGCTGTCAAGCTGGTGACGCCCCCACTCCCTCCCACCATATTATGATCTCCCCTAATGTCTTCCTGTACCCACAATGACTGTACTCCTACACCACTACACACACATGTAAGCCGAAATTGTACTGTCCCCTCTATAGCCCAGTAAAACTGTACCGGTCGTAATATTTAATATTTATTAATTTACCATACTATTTCTAACCATACCATTTTTGCACTTTTCCAAGAATTACCTTGCACTGTTTTTGTCCAGTTATATTTTCTCTGTTTGCGGAATTTTGCACAGTTTTGATTACTTGATTACATGTTATTTATGTTATGTTATTACACGTTACTGTTATTGCTATTGTGTTACTGTCTATTGTCTTATCTTCTGTCCTATTTATACAATGCACCTGAGTGACTAATGAGAAACACTTTTCATTATACTATGCACCTGTGTAAGTGAATTGAATTGAATATGTGACACAAAACTATAATAAGAGGAGTTAATGCTTATCATAAACATACTAATGATTATGTTAGATGAGACTTCATTGAGAAGCCCAACACAGACAGTGATCTTGTTACTTTGACGATTCTCATTCTTCATATGCCCCGACATCTGCCTTCTGCTGACCCTCCACTCAAATAGTTTGTACCCTGAACTTCTTTCTGAATGTTAAACCCAGATATAGCTTTATACTGCAGGTTTCCTACAGATTTGTGTTCAAACATACTCAAACCAAATATACCATATACTGAGGCATTAAATATGCCAGCAATGTGTACTGGAGCACAGACTGCATTTTTAATGCCTCTCACTATATAGGAGGCCAAACAAAGTATCCTTGCATATGAAAAACCAGACTTTCCGAACTTGAGGTCAACAATGAAAAACAATGTATTTCCAGGGAGGTACAGCACATCATCATCAAGTGGGAAGGCTATCTCAGACTTTGTAGATGATTACCCACTACATTTTTCTTGCACCAGCATTGTACTGGACATTTTTTTTCTTTTCCTCTGTCACTCAAGAGGTTTCCTGAAATTGCATATCCTTCCCTCGTTTTTTTTTCAAAGGTAAATTTGAAATTCCTTTTCCGGCAGTTCCACACAATGCCAGGCTTGACAGTTTGGGCTGTGAAGTTACCTCAGCATCCTGTGCCCGGAGGCTGTAGGTCCTGTCCAGACTCCGCAGTGTCGTCACGCTGAGCCCCGGCTCCTCCAACAGCACCTCCAACAGCAGCACCAGCTGCTCGGGCAGGATCTGAGGACACAGAAGACACAGGGGTGTCATCACAGCCCAATCCACATAGAAACCCCACGTGCGGGCTCCAAAGGTTAATTACAGACCGGTGGGCAGTGCATTTCTAAATTTCTAACATATCCAATATACAGTATAGGAACAAGCAGAGATAATTCCATGATGAAAATAGAAAGAAAAGGCTTGTTTTAGCTTTGGAGTCGTGAGACCTAGAAAAACACTACAGCTCCCCATTCTAACCCTCGAAATAATATACAGTGCATACAGTACACAAAGACAGAAACACAAACATCCCATCTTTTGATACAATACAAATAATTAGATGTATATAAAATTGAGCATATACTGTATATAGTATATTAGTTACATTACATACTATTTTTAAACTCTTATGATAAAATAATTTCAAGTTTTAGAAGAAACCCAAACATCTTTGCCACTGCATTCATTGTACATTCTTGAGCATGACAGGCTAAAGCTATCTCGCAATGTTGTCAGTTAAACAGCAGCTCTCCACTGTACAGTATGTTGATAAATGCAACCATCCATGTCAGGTGAAGCTGTTTTTCCTAAAGCTGAGAAGAGAATAAAGTACAAGTCGGTACTATGTCAGTATTTTGGTGATTGACAGAGTTCATTCAATCAGTTGAGGTTATATTCAGAAAGTAAGATACGAATGGCCCGATAGCATTTTTTAATTAGAGCTATCTCAAGGGATGGACAGAAATAGACCTGAGATATCAACTGTGTATGCTGTGTAACTATTTGAGAAATGTATTTTCTGAAAAAACATTAGCAGCACAGCAGTGAGAAAATGATGCTCTGGGATATGATGCATTGGCATCACATTAGGCTGCTTTTACTAATAAAGTAACTTGGATAAGTACAGAATATTGCACTTCCAGATATGAATGCATATTCATCATGGCTATTTGCAGCCTCTGTGATTCATTGTCCTACAATTCTCTCAGTTTGATGGGCCAAAAGTAATGGAGCACCTTCATTTTTCTGATGTTAAGATCACTTCAATTTTGATGAAAGTCTCTGTATAGACATCACATCTTGACATCAGTTTATTCATGTACTGTAAATATTCTCCATCAATGAAACCATACCCTTTCCATTTCCATTTAAAAAATGACTGTTAAATGCTTTGAAAAAGTAGAAATAAATCTGCATCAAATAGCAGGAAATCTTGCACCAAATCTTGCAGCAACAAAAGTTTTTGTTTTGAATTTTTCTTTTAAAGTGTGGGACAATGCTTTTCATTTCTCATAATCAGACAGATTATGGCCTGAGAAAGAAGAGGGAAATTTGTATATTTTGTAGAATCTTGCTAGTAAGAAAGTGGTGAAAGACGCTTACAATTAAGTTGACATACTGTACCATGCCTTTGGATAAGATAAAATCTAATGTACAATACCCTTTCCCTTTAAGAGACATCTTAAAGATTCTAAAGAAGAAAAGAATCACATTTGTGTTCCAGTTTGCACCAGGAGCGCATCCTGCATCCCTTCAGAGTGCCCCTTTTCTGTCACATTTCTCTTTTTTCTCATTGGCCAGGTGTTGAGCTGAAATGGGCCATAAATACTGGCCAGCATTTCTCTTTCTCTCATAAATAGAAGCTAAAGCCAATGCTGTCTTGTGTGAACTCAGACTCTGTGTTACCTTTTAATCAAGCTCCGACGAGTAACAGCTCTTCTTCGTCTACAGAGGTCCCCTGTCTGGGTCTCAATATCGCATAATTCCCCACTCTATCTTGGCATTAAATACATCCCTTTATGTACTTGCAAGGGACATGTAGTAACCTCCTCTTTCTGGATCAATTAAAAACTCCCATTAAAAATGGAAACTGCCAAATGTTGACAGCAATCAATAGATAAATGGGATATCTAATGTTGTTTTGAAATTATGGGCATTTTTTTTTCTCAGTCTTTAAATGGTTCCACTGTACGAGGGCGCAGCCATAAATTGAAGGGGTCAATGAGCGAGGCAGAAGGCTGATCTTTCTCTGTTTTTCACCATGGAAATCTGCTCAGCCCATTACCCCGCTGTTGTTTTGGGACAGACGTGAAGGATTTTAGTAAGAAGGTTACATACAACATGGGAAAACATTCATTTCTAAACCCAACTGCTTTTCTGTGTTTTTAAAGCAAGGTGGTAACCTGCTTTATATTACCTGGAGGTAATATAGCTTAAAGACTTTAAAAAATAATTTGGACAAAGGTTTCTGCTTAAATGGAATTATTTCAAAAAACTTAATTCCTACTGACACACAATATGCATTTATGGTGTTTCCAAAATGTCTTCATGTTTACACCCACTGAAAACCATAAGGAAATCAACACATTTTCTCTCTTAGTTATTGATTATATATTGATAATTCATTACCTCATTTAGTATAATTTTACAAATGTCTGCCTTGTAAAAAAACATTGGTGCGTATGCCTCTTTTCTTCATAGCCTTTGTGTCAATAGCACAGCTGTCCCAAGTGATATGTGCTTATGTTTTCACCCTTGCAAAGGTGATATATGAACGCAGCCACACAAGTGAATTTGTATTCCTTGCATTGTATAATGCTGTACCATGGGAAAAGAGATGGAAAGGTACTTTAGGATGGCCAAGAGAAGCAATGACAAGAAAGCTGTAAAGTTTGGTCTCTAAGCATGTGGGGTTCAACCAGCTTCTCACTCAGCTCAAGAGAAAGGAAGCATGCATATTCACCTCATGCCACCTTCAGCAAAAACCCTACAACACTGAGGGACACTTCCACAAAAAAAAACAGCTCCGGCTACTTAAAGGATTAGATGTCACAGAATACACATGAACTCAATTACAGTCATCAGGCAACCCTGAGGCAACATCATGACTCAATGTCACCAGGGTGCCCTACGTTTGCTTTATTGGTTATTTTTATTTCTTAAGAATCCTTGTTCTTTCTCTTTTTTGGTGATCATGAACACACACATACAAGCTAAATCATTTGCTGATGCCTTTGTGAATAAAGCCATTTTGGTGCTGCTAGTATTATAGTGTGAATACATTAAGAGTCAACTTTTATTGTCACTGTACAACCTTACCCTGAACACATTTTGAGATCTATCATCCTCCCAATATTATAAGGATAAGACTGTGGAATACCTTAATACCTGTTGCAAAACAATATTACATACCCACCACATAGCAAGGGTTACTCAAAACTCTTGGCATTACAGTAGTTACAGTGCATCACCAAATCTTAACACCCCTGAGTAGGGTGAATGTCAGCATATTGTTTAGCAAATAAAGTCACTATGTTTGCACTTGCTTCACACACCTAATTGAGAAACTCTCTGCAGTCCATTTGCACCTTCTGTGCTAGTACATGTCATGCTTGAGCTAACAGCAAGCACACTATTTACCAAAACCATATACTTTTCGGTTACATCCATTTTAAAACATTGTGCTTAATTTCCAAATTCCCTTAAGCACATGTATAATCCATCCTCATACCACTGGACTCATTCTAACTAATCTGTACAGGTACCAGAAACCAAACCTATAAACATACTCAATATTGATATATGTACTGTATATATCAATTTAAGTACTACATTGTACCTGAATGTTGTACAGTGGAAAATTCAGACATATTAAAACTTAAAACAATGAGTGCTGTGCTTGCTTTTGCTGGGAATCTCAATAGACTTCTACAGTTTTTCACTGACAGGAGTAGCCCTGTAACCTTTTGCTACCTACAGCGATAATAGATCAAATGCAGAAACAAATGTTGAAACAGGTGTCTTCAATCAATTGCTTCACCAGACCTGTTGAAAAACCAATTCTTTGTTTCAGATGGCACAATTGGCGTCCATTTCGAGAGAGGTCATAAATGAAAACCATCTCTGAGTTATGGACATGTGCGAGCATAGTGACAGAAAAGGATGTGTTCATGAAAATAATAATGATACAATTTTATTTTTAAGAGCTTTTAAAGAGTCTCACAGCTCTGAAAACACAAGTAAGTGGAAAAGCTGTTCTAAACAGACAAATGCAGCGGGGATTCGTGCTTGTAATCTATTTATCTGTGCATCTCATCTTCTATTCATTTCATTCATGTCTTTATGTAAAACGTTTATGAGGGATGGCAGATTATTTACATTGATTTGGAGTTTTGCTTTAAATGCAATTAAGGGAAACCTATAGGTCAACATATGTGCTTTAGTTACGACCAAACACATGATCTTCCTTCATTTCTAAACAATGGAAACATTCAGAGATTCAGTTACACAGTTTCTTAAGAAAAGGAAAGTAATACACGGCAGGAGAAAAGATCCTTGTTTGCATAGAATCAAATTAACAAGCACCCATACTTGTCACACACCCGCTCCTGAATCACTTTCACAGGGAGATCTCTTGAGGTTGTATGAAAAGGGATACATGACGTCTCTTAAAGATACATGATCCTAATGTTATGATCGGCACCTCACATTGTCTGGAGGAGACTGGATGTTTTGTCCCACCTGCGAAACATCTGTTGAACACATCCACTAAAACACTGTAACTATGAAAGGCTTATAGATGTATTGCATCTGGATTTGAGAGCTTCCTTCCTTGGGCAGTAAAAGCAAAACACTTTTTTTCAGTTGACAAGCCCACAAAGGCTACTCAGCGTGGCCTAGGCTAGGCTTTGTAACCCAATACCAGGGCCTTCATCTGCTTCAGTTATAGACATTCACCTACTTCTCTGGCTACCAACTTTCATCCTGGAGGGCTTCACTCCTGCAGAAATCACTGCACTTCACAGTAAAAATGAATAACTATTAATTAATGAAGTAAATAACGAACTACTAATGAACTACTATTCAGTCACCATTAAATCTGTTCCTCACTCTCTGAAGGTTAACTAACACTATTCTCTTTCCATGGCTCTTCCCAAACTTGGATAAACTGAATTCACCTGTTCTTCTTTCCTCTCTGGACATCTGGACTCTCTACTGCAGTGCTTCTAGCTCTCTGGAGG